TTCCCCGCAGCACCGCGTCCATAACTCTCTGGAACACTGCCGAGGCGTTCCTCAGACCGAAGGGCATATACAGCCACTCGTACAGCCCATCCGGCCCGTGGAAGGCCGTTTTCTTCACGTCCTCCTCTCTGATCTTGATTTGATTGAACCCCTGTCGCAGGTCCAGCGTTGTGAAGAACACCCCGTCAGCCAACTTGTCAAAGAGCTCTCCTGCCATCGGCATGGGGTATCTATCTGGCACTGTGATTTTGTTAAGATCCCTGTAATCCCCGCACATCCTTCTGCTCAACACCTCGCATGTCAAGTCCTTTCGGGCTGCCACCACGGTCGGGGTGGCGTACTCGGACTCCGACCTCCTAATCAGTCCGGCTTCCAGCAACTCCTTTATCTTTTCCCTGCAGATCGCCTCATCTCCTGGTGGCATCTTCCTCCTGCGGTGGTACACCGGCTCGTCACTATTCAGCTTCAACGCCATCTCCTTGATCTTGCACTTCCCCAACTCCCGCAGGGTGAAGGCAAAGCCCTTCCTGTGCTTGGCCAGTAGTGCCCGCATTGCTGCCCTCCCTTCTTCGCTCATGCTCTCACCTATCATCCACTCTGGCTCCTGTTTCTGCTGGCAGGTCCACGCCCCTTGCCTAACTGTCGGCACTGTGTTTTCTCCCTCTTTCAGTCCCCAGTGCAGCACTGTCTCTCTCCACATCCGCTGCACCAACCACCTCAGCATGTACCCATCCATTGCATTCCCCCTTGCCCGCCTCCGTTCCTGTTCACTCACGCCAGGTGCTGCGGTCGCGTTCTCCTTGTACCCCATGGCAAGCTCCCTCTCCAAGGCCGTGGGCTCCTCCCACCGTCCCTTCCTGTGGTCGAGCACCAATCCTGGGCCTGGCTACTTCCCGTCCATCCGATATCCCACTGCCCCCTCATAAGACACCAGCGTAGGTAGTGCTTGCCTCTCCTGCCCCACCTGGTTGCATGGATAGTGTCTACTGTAGCTCCTCTTACTCACTGGTGCTGGTGTTCTTCCTGGCTCCAGTATGTCGCTCAACTTCCGCCCCCCTGCTCTCTGCACCCCTTCTATCTCCTTCTGCAGTTCTTCCACTGGCACTACATTCTGCCAGTACATCCTGAGCCGGTGCGCGTATGCTCCCATCCGCGCCGCGTCACTGCTCACCCCCTTACCCACCTGCTTGGTTACTCTCTCCCTGACCAGTCTCACTGGTTCTCTTACATCCCCTTCCAGGTCCAAGTGCTCCAGCAGGTAAGCCAGTTTGCCCTGCCTTGCCTGCACCCATTCCATGATTCTGAACAGATCCTCCATCAGTTGGGTCCTTGGGTCTTGTTCACCCTTGCCCTTCCCTGCCCATGATACCCCTTGGCATTCCCACCCGGCCACCAACAGGTCCACGTGCCCCCAGCTTGCCACCTCAGCTTCCGTAATGGCCCTTACGTCATGCACTCCTCTGCCCATTGCTGCCTTGATCACCTCTCCCTTCAACAGTTCCGGGAACTCCCTGTGCAACTCCCACGCATGCCGCTCTGCCATTTTTCTCACTTCTGCTGCCTTCTCCACGTAAATCCACTCCTTCACTGCAATCCCATTCCGCACCACTGCTGCCAGTCCCGCCCCTATTCCTCCGAACAGTTCCACTAGCCGGATGGGTTGCTGCCAATCGGTCTGTTGGCTAGGCTCGTCCATGAAGCGCATCCTGGGCTCTCTACCCTGTTCCTTGCCTGTCGTGCTCTCCTGTGCCCCTTGTTTCGCTGTCACCTCCTTCAGATCTGCCCTGTAAGCCCTTTTTGGCTCCGTCCTGACAAACTGCATAGGCAGCTGTTGTCAGAATGTTATGTTATCTAGCCTGCAGTGGGGTGCTCCATAGCGAGTACAACCCAGTTAGGGTTTGCTATTTGTATCCAACTGCTTGCTAGTGAACTCGCTCTTCTTTCTTCTAATTTTGTCATGCTATCAGAGCAGGTCGATCCCCTTGGATCGATCCTGTGGGTGGGTTACCACCTCCTCGCTTCCGCTGCTACTTTTTCTTCCCGCCGTGCGCCCCGGGGCGCACGGCGGTTTTCTGCCCGCCGTGCGCCCCGAGGCGCGCGGCGGTTTTCTGCCCGCCGTGCGCCCCGAGGCGCGCGGCGGTTCTCTGCCCGCTGTGCGCCCCGAGGCGCGCGGCGGGCTTCTGCCCCGTCGTTCGCCGCGTCGCCCTCTGAAGGCGCCGCGACGGGCGACGGGGACCCGTCGCGGCCCCGCCGCCCCACTTCGCGGCCCCGCCGCCTCACGTCGCGGCCCCGCCGCCTTAAGGTGCGGCCCCGCCGCCCCACTTCGCGGCCCCGCCGCCTCACGTCGCGGCCCCGCCGCCCTACACCTGTGGCCCCGCCGCCCTCCTTGCGCCCCGGCCCCATTTCCCGTCGCCTGTCGAGGCGACCCTCGGGGGCCGCTTGCGGGAGGGGGGCGAGCGCCGCCATCCCACCCTGCCTACCCGCCATCCCACCCTGTCTGTGTTAGGTTTTGGGGGTGGCAAGCAGGGGGTGGCGAGTATGGGGGTGTCACTTCCTCATTCCTCCCTTTGCTCCTCCTCCTTTGTCTCCCACTGCTGCAGCTGTCGCTGAGGGGGGTGGATGTGTGGGAGACTGGGGTTTAGGGTTTAAGGGGGGTGCCTTGGGAGTGGAGCTAGCGGTGAAACTGGGGGTGTGTGTGGGGGGGTGTGGGACTGCTTGGGGAGGCTGAGAGGAGGCTGCCGTCTTGTCGTCCGCAGCACCTGTAGTCCGGGGCGTTGTCCTGGTAGCTCAGAGAGCCTGCTGCGCCTGTCGCCCGTGGGTCCGTTGCTCCTGTAGCTCGTCGTAGCCCGTGAGCCAGTTACTCCAGTAGTCCGGGGCGCTGTCCCGGTAGCCACTGTGCCAGCCGCTCCTGTAGCCCGTGTGTCTGCAGCTTCAGCCGTCGTCTCCCATCTTCTCTCCTCTCACAGTCCCTCCTCCTCCTCACTGGCCCGCTGTGACTACCACTAGCTTTGCTCATAAGTGTGAACTTTAAACTGTTGCTTCTTGTAATTGTCCTCAGAATGTGTGGTGACATTGTGATCCACCCTGAGCTTGTTCTGCTTTGCTTACTGTGCTGATTACACCCCACTTTGGCTATGGGGGTGTGTCAGAATGTTATGTTATCTAGCCTGCAGTGGGGTGCTCCATAGCGAGTTCAACCCAGTTAGGGTTTGCTATTTGTATCCAACTGCTTGCTAGTGAACTCGCTCTTCTTTCTTCTAATTTTGTCACCTGTCCTAGTGGCTCACCCTTCCTCCACCACCTGGTCCTGAACTCCACTGTCTCCTTCCAAAAGCAGATGGTCATGCCCAATGCAAAAATCATTTCTGTGCCCACCAGGACGTCAAAATCTTCAGATTCTGAGATCCCGCACCTGATCCTAACCGGCGTTTCGTGTTTCTCCCCCTTTAGCACCGTCAGTTCTATTGGAGTCCTTGTACATGGCATCCACTTTGATTCTCCTCCCTCTGCCGTCATCACCAGCATCCCCTTCACCACATGCCTGTCCGGTGCCCACAGTCCCAGCTTCTCGGCCATCCCCTTCCCTAGTATCACGCTCTGCGCGCCAGTATCTATAATAGCCGTCTTGGCCTTCTCTCCTTCTACAGACAACGCGCCACCTTGGATCAACAGCACGGAAGTCTGGCAAGCCAACCTCTCCTGGGGGTGCCGTGCTGCTGTACATCTCTCTTCCTTCTCTTCCGGTTTCTGTCCCCTCTCCCTTTCCTTTCTCACCTGCTCCTTCCGTGCATCCTTTCCTCCACTGCGCAGCCCCATCTCCTCCCTTCCTCTCCATGCCATATAGGCTGGCTGCTCCTCGTGTTCCATCTCGTCCTCTGCTTTTCCTGCCCAGCTCATGAACGCGGCTTCCTCATCCTGCTCTACATCTTCTTCTTTTTCTTCCTTCGCGTACATCCCCGCTTCTGCTTCGCGTCGTGGTCCCATTGCCTGCAACTGGGCTTGTAACCTGCTAATCTGCCTTTCCAGGTCTTCTGGCGTCTTTTTCGCTGCTCCCTCTCGTTGGTAACATTCTTTCGCTGCATGCCCTCCCTTCCCACAGATTTCACACTTTGGCGATGTTGGGCACTCACGTCGCCGATGCCCTGGTTTGCCACAGGAGTCACAGTTCTTGCAGTCTCTGCGTAAGTGTCCCGGCTGCCCGCACCTATGGCACGTCCGAGTGTCAGGCCTGGTCTCCCCTCTTCCTGCAGCCCTGTCCCTCTCTTCCGGTATCATGGCTGCCGCCCACGTAGGCCCCCTGCCTCGTTCTGCTGCTCGAGGCCTGTATGCCTCATACTTCCTCTGTGCCAGTTCCATCTTCTCTGCCATTTCAAACACCTCCTCTAGTGTGGCGTCAGCCCCCATCTCGTACACTTTCATCCGCAGCCCGCTCCCTAAAGTGCCCTCCAGCCCGTCCAGGAACTTGCTCACGAGCAGGCCCATGTCTGCGCAACTCACATCCTCCGCCAGGTTGACCAGCCGGTTGTAGTAGATGAGTAGTGACTCGCCCTGCCCCTTCCTGAAATCTTGGAACTCCCTAATCTTCTCTGCAGTATGGCCTGGCAACTGCCGCTTCAGCCGCCTCAGGAATTCTTCCGTTGGGTCCTCCCCATACCTACGTGCCCTCTCCAGTAGCTCATCCATCTTCATCCTATACAGTGTCTCTGCCTCCCCTTCCAGCGTGTTTGGCAGACTCAGAAAGAAGTCTACTGCGTCCATGCCGCTCCTCTCGCATCTGTACCGCACATTGCCCACTTGCATCAGATAATTCTTCAGTGTGGGCCCCAGACGCTGGTCCCCTGAGAAGCGTGCTGGCACTTCCACTCTCGTGACCATCGCCGTGTTTCCCCTTCCTTCTCCCCAGGCCTCACTCGGCCCGCCTGCTGATCTGCCAGATGCTCCCCTCTCTCTCGCCCGCAGTATCCCCTCCCTTGCCTCTCTGGCTCGCTCCAGGCTGTGCATCAGCCCGCTGCCTCCCACTCTGCTGCCGCGTTGATCCTGTCCTCCTTCTCCGGCACGTCTTTCGTCAGGCTGCCGATACCGCCCAGGCGAGCGAGACTCAGCGCCCTGCCTTCCATCCCTGCTCCGCTGCCGCGACGGCGAGCGGTATCTGCCTCCCTGGCTTTCCTCGTGTCGCTGACGCCAATCTGGCGAGCACGCCTCACCTCCCCACCTCCCTCCATGGTACCGTCGTGTGTCAGGCGAGCGATAGCCACCTTCGCGTCTCCCATCACGATAGTGATGCGGATCTGGTGAGCGCGAGCCCCCCTTGCTCCTCCCGCCGTGATACCTCTGCGGATCTGGCGAGTGCGCACTGCCTCCGCGTTCTCCGTCACGGCGCTGTCGCGGATCTGGCGAGCGGTAACTGCTTCCGCGCCTCTGCTCATGCAGCGGCCGCGGATCAGGCGAGCGGTAGCCGCCTTCGCGCCTCTCGTCACGCTGCGGCCGCGGATCTGGCGAGCGCGCGCCGCCAGCGTGCCCCCCATCGCGATGCTGTCGCTGGCCTGATGCGAGCGCGCCGTCGCCGCGCCCCACGTCACGGTGCTGCCGCAGATCGGACACGCGCCCCTCGCCTCCGCGTTTCTCGTCACGGTGCTGACGCGGATTCGGTGAGCGCGGGCCACTGCTACGCCTCCCGCCGTCGTTCTTCTCTTCGCCACGCGGCTGGTTCCGCGCACCATTCGTCCCGTCCGATTTCGCCGCGCTTGGCTCCACCGCCGCGCCCGCCTGCGTCGAATCGGCCTCCTTGACTCCAGCGGGCATTTTGCGCTGCTCGCCTGCGCCTTCTTCCTAGGCTTCGTCATCGCCTTCGCGATTCGTTTCCTGTGCCTTATTCGCCGTGTCGGCCTCGTCCTCTCCGTCAACATCGAGGTCTCCCTGCCGACCAGAGAAAAATTCCTCCAGGCCACGCCCGCGACTCCGATCTTCGCGACGGCGGTAACCCTCTTCCGGCGAGCGATACGCTCCCGTGTCCTGGCGATTCCCATGATTGCCACCAGCTCCGTGTCGTGCATCCGTCCGCCACGGGTCACTTCCCATCCTAACGGACTCGAATCCGCCTCTTCCTTCTCGCTCTGCACCTTCTCCTCGGCGATCTGGCGCGAGAGGGACCAGATCTGCGCGAAAGGCCGGCCTCTGCGGCGAGCACTCAGGCCTCCGCGGTGACCTCTCCAACGACCGCCCGCGCTCACGTGAGCGTTCGCGCCGTGAGCGATCATCCTCACGGCGACCATAGTTCCTGCCATAACGCGGTTCGTACACATCCATGCTTGCACACGCACCTTTCCGGTTGCTATAAAAGTTATGTAACTCTCACCTCAAGGGTCCTCCCTGAGTGGTGTGCCACCTGTCTGCACAGCTGAGGCAACAATAGTCCACTATACAAAAGGATAGCAACCGGAAAGCATAAGGGCTGTGTGAGCGAGTGACTTTACCTGGCCTGGGCTCGAACCGTGCATTTCTCAATGTGCGGCTCGAGCCTGGGTTGGTTCAATCACATTGGTCGCGTGGATTTCACCCTTGGTGCTCTCCTACCAACCTCGCGTCAACTTCTCTGGTTCCCCAACTACCTACCTTCGAATATTCATACACATCATTACTACACCCGAACCACACCAGAACTACACCTCAATCTAACTGGCACCTTATATGCACAACCGTGCATATTCGGTGACACCCTCAGAGTACATGGCTAGCTAGATTTCTATTTAAACCCTTGTACTCCTATCTGTCAAATCATCTTGTTCTCTTTCAATTATTATTCAACATGGTCACTACAGAGACTCCTGTGTCTCCTCTCAGACTTAACATATCATATCCTATCTACTGGATCCTTTGGTTATATCAGCATGGTGTGAGAGCAAGAGTAGATTATAAGATCTGCCAAGTCCTCGTTCTTCCTAGAACAATCTCATTACAAACTTACTCAATACATTTCTAAGCCTGCAAACTATAGCTCCTGAAGGAAAAGCCACTGCAGACTCACCGGGCCCACCAGCAGCAACGACTAACGCGCCCTCAGCGATGACCTCCGTCAGCGCCGTTGTCGTTGAGGAGCTAGTCGCACGCATCAACGCCCTTGAAAGCCATCAAGCAATGAGCATTGACGGCTCAAGCTATGCACGTGGCGTTGCTGGACTCCCTCTTCCTAGAGAAGACCGCCGCGTCAACTCCGAGAGATCTTTCACCTTTTACAATCGTCAAGGGTCAGCTCCTGCACAAGACAACCCACAACGCTCATAGTCAGACATCGCTTCAATGCAAACCAAATTTGTATTGACTTCAAAATTGAAGACCTCAATCTCTTTCGACGGAAAGGATTTTTACACGTGGAGTTTTGAATTTGAGCTTCTCGCGACAACCGCTCAGATCTGGATGTACTACGACGGAAGCCTACCTTTTCCTTCGGAAGGCACCATCCAGGAGAAGCATCAATACTACCACGAATCACTCCTCGCGTACACCGCTCTCCTTCGCAACCTCTCACCTGAAGAACAGCTTGGCATTCGTCCTTACAAGACGGAGTGGGCTCCCGCGCACGCGTCTTGGGAACACCTGCGCAACTAATAGATGGCAACAGATCCAGTTACGATGAGTCGTCTGCTCAGCCAGCTAACATCGGTTAAAATGAAGCAAGGGGAGAAAGCGGGACCGTATGTCAACCGGTGCCGCAATCTGCGCGACCAAATCAAAAAATGCGGTGGGACTGTCCCCGACGACATGTTCATCTCGATGGTCATCTCTGGCCTCGGCCCCAACTGGCGACAGTGCCAATCACTCCTTCGCGCCCGAGCAACCATATCGAAGTCGGCTCTGTGCGCCACGCTTCTTTCAGAGCAGAAGGAAATCGACCTGTACAACGAGAAGAATGTTAAACGAGAGAAATTAGTCTTCTACACAGGAGCATCACAAGGGGAGCAACGCGGAAAGAAGGGAGCTTTCTGCAAATACTGCAAGAAGTCTGGCCACACTATCGACCAGTGCTACAAGCGTCAGGCCGCTGATGAGCGACGCAACGCCTCCAACCAACAACAACCATCGGCACAAACAAAGCCCTCCGCCACTGTGTCGCCTTCTTCCGTCGCCAGCACTTCTCAATCTCCTACACTCATCACGGCGAAGGACAAAGGAAAAGGGACAATCATAAGCTGCATGGCTCGTCGCAATAGAGGGTTCCGTTACTGGGATCGAATAACATTCGCTCGCGACAATCCCATCAACCCTGTTGCGCCCAGCACAGACAATGACCCAACAGCCTTTACTTGGTCCTCTCACCCCTCAGACATTCCTCCTGACTTCGAGCTCCCCCCTCCTACTCCGGAATCGCCGCCGAGCATTTCCGCAAACAGATATTTCGCCCTCTCACCGTATGCCGGCGACCTTGATCGAATCGTCACACCCAAGATCGCCAACCTCGCCCGTCAGCGCTACGACGATCTGGACACGTGGTACCTCGACAGTTGCTGCGGGCAACACATGGTGGAATCGCCAAAGTTTATCAGCAACTTACGGCGTATGCGACGGCTCTGCGAAATCACCGCCGCCAACAACGGAAAAATGAAGGCATATGAGATTGGCGAAATCTACCTCGAGGCCAATGACACGAAGTTCACCATTCACATCGGAGACGTCCTCGTCGCACCTGACCTACAATACAATTTACTCTCGTCAGCGCAACTTATGCGGTGCGGAATCGACATTCGCAGCAATCGAAAGGAGAAGACCTTCGAGCTCTTCTACAAAGAAACTTACATCGGAAAGGCGATCGATGACGACGGAGTCTTCGTGCTGCAATTTTCAGCTCAGGGCACCACCGGCGATTCCCACCGCACACTGCTGCTAAAAACAACTCCCACAGAGCCACCAACATGGACACATCCCGACGAGATGGATCTCGAGCAACCTGCCTCCGACGGCCTTCTGCGCTTGCGCACAGTCCCAACTGCCTCGACCTCCAACCCTGCAGAAACCGGACCTGCCACAATGGAAGAAGACAGCGGCACGTCAGAAGTTGCAACCGAAGAAAACAAGACGGCGGAGACACGCTGGACGGGTTGGAACACTTCCGAGCCCGCGCTCGGGTCTTGGGGAGAAGTTTTGACCCCGGAAGAAGCAGCCGCGAGCAGGTGGGACGCCTTTTCAACGGAAGAAGAAGTTTGCGCGACAGGCCGGGGGACTTCCCCTGCCCCAGCAGAGGAAGCTGGTACAACAGCGGGAGAAGCAGTCGGAGAAGCAGAGACAGCTGAAGTCACACGAGGCGCCGAAGGAGGATGGAGCACCTCGACCGAAGCAAACAAGGGCACACCGAAGCAGCTGGTTTTCCTCCTGCGGAAGTCGCCGTCATCGACCCATACTGGGCAACTCGCGGCACCTGCTTGGGAGGTCCACCTCTCCCAGGTCAATACGCCCCTGACACACCCGAACCAATGCCAGAAGAGTCAGACGAAGAAGAGACCTACAAATTAATGGGAGAACCAACAGAGTTACCTGAACCCACCGAAGAGCCGGAGCCGCCAGTACAAGGACCACAAGAAATTGAGGTCATTGGCGCTGAATACAGTTACTTCAAAATCCCCATGACGGGACTCCCAGTTCGGGTGTGGCCCAACCAGTGCCTGCTCGTCACCGCAGACCAAGTCAAAGCCGGCGACACCAACGACGTCATCGGTATTCCCCGCGCGCTTCTGGAGCGAAAGGCAATTCGCGCACTCGCCGCCGATACCGACAAAGCCGCCGACGCAGGCCCTAAAGGGGAGGCAAACGACGAAGCAGCACCACAAAAATATTATCAGAAGACGGTCGGTTACCGTGCGGACGCAGAAACATGGCACCAACGGCTCGGCCATCCCTCCCACGCCACGTTCAAAAACTCGCTCAAGGCCGGAGTGAGAAAATGTGAACGAGAATGAATGAACTATGAAACAGTTGGGTACAAGTACTAACCCTAATTGGGTTGTACCCCATATGGGCTACCCCACTACAGCCTACACAAAAGCATAAGCTATAATGTTCTGACACACCCCCATAGGCAAAGTGGGGGAGAACAAGCGGTCACAAGACCAGTCAAGCAAAGCAAAGCAAAGCAAGCTCAGGGTGGATCACAAAGTCACCACACATTCCGAGCACAAGTTCAAGGCCACAAGGCCAGTTCACATGCATGAGTACATATATATAGAAAGCTAGACAAGCAAGAGCAGGTGTATATATATGTAACAGTACAAGCAAGGTCAAGAGGTGAGCAAGTGAGGCAGGACAGGCACAAGACCAAGCTGAGTACATAAGCGCTGATGATCACAAGGCGCAAGTGCCTTGGTGAAGATATCAGCAGTGTTGGCCTCAGAGGCCCATACGCAAGACGCAACTGACCACGCTGCTGCAGCTCACGAGCAAGGAAGTAGCGAAGAGCAATGTGCTTCGTTCTGTGCTCCAGTCTCTGCTCTCGACACAAGGCCAGCATGGCCTTGTTGTCTACGTACAGCACTGGAGGAGAACGAGGCGGCTCTCCGAGGTCAGTCCGCAGGTAGGTGAGCCAGCGAAGCTCCTGTGCAGCCATGGCCCCGGCGTAGATCTCAGCCTCACAACTGGAGCCGAGAACAGAAGACGAGCGGGTAGCCCGCCACGAAACAGAGCCGGAACCAAGGCTGAAGGTGTAACCCTTTGACGACCGCTGCGTAGCCTGGTCGTCTGCCCAAGAAGCGTCCGCGTGCCCAGTGAGGACCACTGGACTCCGCCCTCCAAGCACTAGCCCCATGCCCGATGTACTGCACAAGTAGCGCAACACCCTCTTCGCTGCAGCCATGTGCTCCGGTCTGTGTCTCCCAGGAGCAACATAGCATGCGAGAATGCTAAGAGGGTATGCAAGGTCAGGTCGAGTGCAGGTCATCAGGTACATGATGACAAAAGTTAGAAGAAAGAAAGAGGAAAGAGGAATGAACTAGCAGAAATGGGGATACAAATAGCAAACCCTAGAAGGGTTGTACTCGCTATAGAGCACCCCACTACAGGCTAGAACATAAGAATAATATTTTGACACATGAGGCAGCCAACAAGCTCTGGGTACGGGCCACTCGACTCTACGGACTCATCCGAAGGCAGAGCTGAGAGCGAGTGGCGAGTAGACAGAGGAGTGGCCTGAGGCGAGGAGTACGTGAAGCCGAAGCGCTGAAGGACCTGCTGCACCATGTGTGACTGAGTCAGGGTAATGGTGCGGCGTGCTCTGTCCCGGGTGATCTGCAAGCCAAGGTAG